CCCCAGCCAGTTTCCCAGCTCCCCAAGCATGCACCTCCCTTTGGAGTATAAACCCAACATTATATGGTCTTGCACTGCACAGGGATCTGGACAGTGAAAGCTCATTAATATGTCCTCCCCTCCCTCAATGTGGAGCGGAATATACATACTTGTGGTAACCAAACTGAGATTTTCCCCCAGACACTTCACTTAAAGGCACACTGGTTTAGGATAAAATATAAAACATATAAAATATAAAGTTTATTAACTACAAAAAGATAGATTTTAAGTGATTATAAGTGATAGCGAACAGATCAAAGTAGATTACCTAGTAAAGAAACAAAAACACAAACTAAGTTTAACATACTAGAAGGATAGGATTTGAATTAACAATCTCTCATCCTGACTGATGATACAAGCAGGCTTGCTGATTCTCAAGGCACAAGCTGCACTTGCTTTGCAGTTTGGGATCCCCATCTCCATTCCAAGTCCTTTTCCTTAGGAGCTTCTCTCAGGTTTTGAGTTGTGGGGCAGTGAAGAACAACAGATGATGTTACTCCCTGCCTTATATAGCTTTAGCAAATGGTGGGAACCCTTTGTTCCAAAACCAGTTCCCAGACCAGTTTGTGGAAAAATACAGACCCCCAAAATGGAGTCCAGAGTCATGTGGGCTGGTCACATGCCCTTGCAGAATCATAGCAGCCATTACTTACGGGCTGTCTGGAGCGTTCTCAGGAAGACTCATGGGTGGGGGATAAGCTTCTCCTAAGGACTATTGTTTTCCCTAATGGCTCATTACCTTGAATGGGCTCTTCACAACCAGCTATTTAGACTGGAAGCCTCTTGCCTAATGGGTGTCACCCAGGTTTGACTACATGTGAAATACAGATATATAGTCAATATTCATAACTTCAAATACAAAAACGATACATGCACAAAAATAGGATAATTATATTCAGCAAATCATAACTTTTCCAATGACACCTTACATTTTCTACAAGACAGGTCATGTATCATAATTATGCCATAATCATTTCATAATATCACTATGAAGAATATGGTGTGTACAGTCACAGCATTATTTAAAGAAAATAAAGCTACATTTTTACCTCAAGGCCATTAGGAAAGCATCCTATGACAGCCAGGAACTCCAGCCTCTGAAGCCTGTAATTATTATGTATATTTATCAAGGGTGTGTGACAGAATATGCCCTCTGAACACTATGTAATAATCTTTGTACAAAATATGCCTTGTAAGATATCATCTGAATACTCATAATTTGCTGGTCAGTATTGTCCTGGTAAAATATGTTTAGCAACACTGAATGTGAAGTTATAAGATTCCCTTGTATGGTATTATTAACATGTTTCAAACCCCACAGCTCTGCCCAAACAGAAGCTGGTAAACAGGTCTGTCCTAAACAAAGGAATATGTGCCCTGCTTACTGTGCATTTAAGCGGTAAACAGTCATCAAGCAGGAAGGGAAGCCAAAGGAAGTTCCAACAGGTGAGAAAACCATCAGGGAATATCCTTCCACATAGACTCATTGTCTCCTGGTTCTGAGTTGGAAATGTTTTTCAAAAGGGGGACTGAAACTATAAAAAGGTGGGACAAACACCCCAAGGCACCCCTCTTTCTCTCCCTGCCCATTGCATTTACTGCACCTGAAGAGACAGAGGAAGCAGACATTGGAGTCTGTGGGAGGGATCCTGACCTGCGAGTTTGGTCAATAATCTGCTGGAGCATGTGACGAGAAACTTTGCTTGAATCTAATATAGTTTAAGTTAAGCATTAGTAAGTGTCTTATCTTTATTTTTCTTGTAACCATTTCTGACTTTTATGCTTCATTACTTGTACTCACTTCTAATCTACCTTTCTAGTTAATAAACTTGTTTTATCTAATCCAGTGTGTTCAAGTTGAAGTGTCTAGGAAACCCCATTCGGTGTAACAAATTGTGTGCATCTTATTCTCTGAAAGGAATAACAGACTTAATATATTTGTTCTGACCAGGAGAGGATTGGGCAGTACAGGACATACATTTCCGGGGGGAAATCTGGGACTGGGAGTACGTTGGTGTCACCCTGTGGTGATTTTTTAAGGCTGGTAAGAACCAAGGTGTGACTGGCTGGCTGCAGTGTACACACAGACGTAGCTGGGAGTGATTTGTATGCTGGAGGCTGTTTGTGAGCAGCCCAGGTTGGAGCTGCAGCAGCAAAGCATTGTAAACGGCAGCATAGGCAGGAGTGGCACAGCAATACATTAGTCTGGATTGTACCCTGGTATGTCATAGGGTGATAGCCTGTTCTCTACACAAAGACCAAATGCAGGAGGAATTACAAGGTTTTGGTGGATACAATCCAGCATGGAAGCAGTGCACAGAGAACCTAGCCACAAAGAATCTGGGTAGCCTGGCCACCACTAGTATCATAAGATGTATGGCCAGTGTCCTGCAAACCCCTCACCCTTTGCAGTGTTGAGGGAGGGGGAACATATAGGGAGTGTGTACATGGTGCACAGACTGACTCTCCATGCTGTGTGTGAATCCCTGCACAGTACTATGAAGGGAGATTTCAAAACCAGGCCAAATGATCTGCTGCTGAATGACAGACAATCCTCACCTGATGGGAAAAAAATGGAGAGAGGATTCTCTGGCCTCACCCATAGTTCATCTCTCCCATCTCCTGCACATTGCTTCCTTGGCTGGGAACTCACAGCAAAGCATGTCTCCACTCCATGCATGTGATATGCATCATTACATTTCCCCTTCCACACCCAGTTGCCTTCTTGCACAGGGGAAGAGTTCTAATAAGGAGAGGTTTCTCTTCCTGATTACCCTGCCCATGGGGATCTCTTCAATTCTTTTCCCTTTCAGCTGCATGAGAGTTCTGGAAAAGCAGCAGACAGAGGAGGGGTGTCTGATGAGGGTTGGGGGCTCCTCTTCAACAGAAACCAGAACTTAAAAAAAAACAACTTGCAGGGAACAGGCTGCTCTCTTTCCCTCAGTTCAATAGGGAGAAACTGAGAAATCTTAAAGATGCATCTTTCCAAGTCAGGCCACGCTGCTTGATTCCTATGAAGATATCTCTAAATCTCTCTGTGTTTTTACCCATTTTAATTGGCAACTATTCCACTTTTGCATGTTACAAATGACTAGTATTGTTAACAGTCTGTCATATTGTCATTCTACTCGAGTCCTGCTGCACCAACTGATGAGCCTTCTCTCTATGAGTAATTCAGTTTTAGCAATAGTACACTGTAGAGGAAGTGGAGAAGGGATCAATTTGGCTATTGAGATACACTAGCTTCAAAAATCAATTGACAGTGATGGATATAAAATTTTTCCAATTGCCCATGCATAGCAGTTTTAAGGGGTCATCTATTCCACACTTACACGGCACATATATTACCTCTATTTGTATTAAATATTGTCTCATCAAAGTACTAAGAGAAATAGTTGAAGAGTATCTTTCCACCTAAACAATTTGATGCAATGATCCTTCATTGAGTTAAGATTAGTAAGTATATTGTCTAATAATATTTAATAATCTCAAAGAGAATAAGTTCAAGCACCATATTAACCTTATAACAGTCCTTAAGAACATAATCTCAGAAACAAAGTTTGTCTGCAGTGGATACTCTCTTGACTAATTTGTTTAAAAACTGTAACAGTGTGGGTTCTGTCATGATTTGGTCGGATATGCTTACTACGTGCTCCAAGATATAATAACTAGACATGTCCATCATCAATCTACATTCAAGTTTTAGCATATCTCAACTGATGCATTTATTTTTCTTTTTGTGGCAGCACCAAATACTTTGGTGTTTTTAGGTTATTACAACTAGTTGGCAGGTTTCATGTCTTCTTTAATAGAGGTAATGGTAAAATAATAAGAGAAATTTGTGTAATGTGAATATGTCTCTTGCTTTATTGCTGTTATTTACAATAGTGGTTACTGTACTGTATATGTGTTTTCCTTCACATAGAATTAATTCTATTTCTGGATGCTTGAAATAATGGATCACAGATGTTTTATGAAAAAACAAAAAAAATGTTTTAAAAGTCTAAATTCTGTGCCTTTTCCACATTCTAGAGCTGCACTTAAGCTACTTCCGCCCTAAGGCTACACCTACTAGAGGCTGCAGAGCTCCAGCCAGGAGTGAAGAGATGAGGCACAGATGAAGAATATGAAGTTGTGGTGTATACTGCTGGAATCACATTTACATTTACTCCTCTTCACTGTGAGGTAACTCCACATCTCTGGTAGGTAGGAATAGCTTTTATTAATTATGAGTCCTATGCAGTAAGGCTGGATAGGTCAGCCTGCTGTGTAGTATCATGCACATACCGTCACCTTCCAAGCCTCTGTGGTTTGGAAGGCTGCTGAAACCTTCTGCTGAACTGAGCTCTTTATGTTGATTCACAAATTTTCAAGCCTTCAATACCTAAGAATACTGGAAGTGGTCCTGCAGTCTACAGTGCTACAATATTTTCACTCCCTTCTTCTGTCAAGACCCAACATGCATCTGAATCAAAAAAATCTATATTCTGCTTTAAGTATGTATTTTGAAAAATGACTGGACATTGTGTCCAGTCACTGCTCAAAACTCCCTCCCCCTCACACACATTTAAAATGCAACTTTTCTCACAATGAAAGCTCTCATTTATTCTCGCCTTTCACTTTTTTCCCCTAAATTAAAACAGTAATCATAATGATCAGGAAAAGACAAAAACAGCATACTATATATATATATATATGTTGAAAGAAAATTGTAAATGTTTCAGAAGTATTTATTTTTCAAAATATTTATGTACATTAATTAAAACCACTCAGGACTGCAGTGTACAAAACCATTACATTCTATTTCCAGTTCTCTGAAATCTCTCACTATGGACTAAGTCCTGTTCCCAATGACATTAACATTTTTGCTATCGATTTCAATAAGAGTAAGATTTAGTCACAAAGTCATATGAAATCAGTGAAAGAATGAACATGATCTATTTTAATCACAAATAGATTACCTTTAGTGGGGCCTTCTGTGTTATGCTGTTGAATGAAGGAAGTCTCCTATATAGGAAAAAATAAAATCTGGTCAAGACAATCTTACATATGTAGGCCTGGCTACATACATGTTGCTGAGAAGTAAATTTAAAATAAAAAAAAATTCTATATATCTCTTAATATACAATAAGACAATCACTTATGGTTACCCCACTAACATGGCTACCCTTCTGACATATGGTTAAGTTAGACTATCTAGCAGGTATGTTATATCTACGTAATACATCAAATACACAAACTAACAGTTCAAATATACAGCCTAATGGGAGTTGTGCCTCAGTAAGGATGCTAAGATCTCATTCTTACTGATTAAACTTTGCCTTTTTAATATTTATTTATGTATAGTTTAACTGCTTCAGAACAGACAGGCAGCTTGGTTAACCTCAAAATCTGGAAAACAAATGGTATCCCTAATTACAGTTGACACCAGCAGTTAATAGCACAAAAATGACTGAGGGTATGACTTTAGGCACACTTAAATTCAGAGGGCTATCTTTAATGATAAAGAAACCAATAACCAGTAAAAAATGAAAATGAAATGAAAGCCATGCCATAGGGAAACTGTAAAATAATAAAGATGTCATAATGTACCTTATAGTTTTAATGTTACCAAAACTTTAACAAATAACACGGCAAGGATTACAGACAATTCCAAAATGTTCTTTTTCTTTGAAACCACTACAAAAAACATATCTAAAATAACTTCTGAAAATGTGTGATATAAATGCATGATGTGTTCAGTGGCATAAAGGTTTTTATTGACAATAGGTTGGTATAATTTACATATTTCACTTGTGGTAAAGCCACTCATAAGTCAGATAAACTTAGCAAACTAATGCAATAATACTCCTATGCCAACCCCATCCTGTGTCACAATACACATTCTTACGACTTCATATAGGCTGTACAGATACATAGGTAGATGTATATGAAATCATACTATTATCGTTTTTTTAGTACAGTGAGTTACACTGGTAATCTCAAACAAGTATCAGTACAAATAATACACCACCTCACCCCCTCAGGTGTTCTATGCATGCACCATATTTTGCAGGAAAACTATTTCAAAAGTGCTAAGAAGGTTTATGAAACTACTATTATTACTGTTTTTCATAATCCTTCACCTATAAAGCCAGGCTCCCTTTTTTACTGTGATTCCAGCTGTGCAGTTCCGCACACAAAAAAACAATTATTTTAATATATTTTAGAAACACCTAAAAAGTAACTAAAATACCTTTTTTTAAATAATCATGATGTCATTATTTAAAACTTCATTACCATACAGCCTTCCAGGGGTAGAAATGAGTTCTTTATCCATTTGGAAAGGAGGGATTTGGGGCATTTTAAACTTAGAACTAATACTGTCCTAGGCCTCAGTATTGCCTGTTGTGGACTTCAGAGCAGTGCAATTTTGGAATAAGATTCCACATTTGAAGGGTAAGAATAAAAAAGTTTGCATGTCAGGTTGCCTGTTTCAAAAAATGGAGGCTGTTTGAATCTGGTGAGAGGTTTGGAATATCAGAGTATCACACAGAGATGAATTCATAGCAGAGTGCTGATGGGACAGAGATGAATGCTATCTATCACATGGATGAGCAACTTACTATATGTGTATTGTGTGTCTACTTAATATACATGCAAACAGACATGTATGTATGTGTAGACACACACTCTGCCAAACTGTGGTTCTGAGAACTAGTGAGTACCAAAGTGGGAGCAAACACCTTCAGCACCCAGGCAACGTAGGCATATCATCTTGCAGATGCACACTAAGACACTGCACTTGTTAAGGCTTGCAAAACAGATGCATTCCCTTTAGCATTGTTTTCGTGGAACATTAGGCAAGTGCCAGATGGGGCTTTGCAATGGCCATACATCTACGCCTTTCAATCAAGATCTCATGTTGGGGGATGCAGGGACAATGACATAGTAAAGTCCAGTGGTTTTACAGTTATATATGGTAAAATTTCTGAATTAACATTGCAACAGATATAACAAAAGGTGTTTTATGGAAAAACATGTCCCTTAAATATGAATTTAATATATGGGGGCAGATACTTTGCTGGTGTAAACTGTCATAGCTCCATTGACATCAAGCTGAGGAACTACCCTTTGGTAATGTGGCAATATTGATTAATGAAGCTCCCCTCATCAGAATGCCCAGAGAATGGTAACCACACAAAATACATTTATTTAAATGAACTAATTTAATATTCATTAGTGATATGAGAAGCTTTTTTTTTTGTAAAATCAAAAGGCATATTGCAGAGGAGTCACAAATCACATACTGCAACATTAATTTAATCAAGCACTAAGAGGAAGCAGGGTCAGTTCTATTTTCTGATATTGTTATTTCCCATGTAGCATTCCTGCCAGAGAGCAAAAATTTAAACTTTTTAAAAAATATATTGGGAGTAAGCAGTAGGATGAAAATAACAGGTAGGGAATACCTTATATTTACAGCTACTTACATATTATAGAGAATTCAGGCTATTCTGAAGTGAAACTCAGACACAAATATAGCAGCTTTACTAATTTTCTTCACTACAGTTGTTCCAGCTAACTCTGAAGATCTTTGTTTGAGTGTTTATCTGAGGGAGCAGTATTTGAGGTGATGAGGTCAGAAGGGGGAAGAACATGGTTATTTTCAAACCAATCACACAGGGGAAAACAATTAAAAAAGTTGGAACATACCATATCTCCTTTCCCCAAGCCTTCTCCTATACTTCCCACCCCTCAAATAAATTAATAAAAATAAAAGTAAAAAAAATCGAGCTGTGGAAGAAAAGATAAAGCCCAAAATATTTATATTGCTAAAATGTGGTACAATGTTCATAGCACAATTCCAGTAAGACTCTCTGCACTATGATAAGATCCTAGATCCATAGTCTTTAATGCCTTGATTGTGACTAGCTGCTGCTTACAGTATTTGGGTCCTCCAAAGCTTTAATAAAAAATTCTGCAATTGCCACAATATGCACTATGTTTGTGTATTCTGAAGTGTATGTTGGAGTGCTATTGTTTTGCAAGGTATTCCCAGAGCCAGCCTATGTGAAATGCAAAGCCCTCAGGCTCCATCATTCTCTTGGGGACCTAGAAATGTCAGGGCTAATCTGTTTTCATTTAAAAAATGAGTACATTTCTAGCCCTTTTCCACGGAAAATAAGGAAAAAAGCAAACATCATTAGGGTTAGGAATTTGTCACTGAGTTTTCTTACAGATCATAACTTATTCTCAAGCTGGCCTTTTGGCTTCATGAAACACTTGGTCACAGGTCCCTTGATCTTTGGGGAAACCCCAGAGCAATTTGTGGTTGTGACAAGCAGTACCTGCCCAGGTTGCTGTTGCTGCAAGCTCGCTCCCAAATGGTTACTTTCAACTGAGATGCCTTCTCTGCTGAACAGCTAACATGGCCTCTAGTCAAAAGAGGGGGCAGCTTAGTAGTGTAAGGTGGAGTTGTCAGCAAACTGGGGCCAGGTTCAATATCTAGGCTTCCTCTTTACAAAACAGAATCTTCTTGAGCCCCCAAGCAGTAATCTGGGAAAACTAAACACCACCGTGGGCGCCTTTAAGAGGCAATAATTTCCCCACTCACAAGCACAGAGTTTGCTATAACAAATGAAAACTTTTATTAAAAGAGAAAGGGAATTTGGGAAAACACCATAACCCTGATTCAAAAGCACATAGCCAAAAGCCCCACAGTACATTGTGCAGTGTCCTTTGCATCAGTTTCACATCTTGTGATGTGAAAGTCTGATGAATAAATGTACCTTTATCACACCACTCATCTTTCCCTCCACTGCACTGCACTGTTGGTTGTCCTTAGTGAGCGAAGAGAGAGTTCTGAGGAGCATTCATATGGGCCCACCTCCCATCCACTTCCCGCAGTTCCCATTGGCTGGGAATGGTGAACCGCGGCTACTGGGAGCTGCAGGTGGCCATGCCTGCGGATGGTCAATGTAAACAAACTGTCTTGCAGCCCACCAGCAGATTACCCTGATGGGCTGTGTGTGGTCCGCGGTCCGCAGGTTGCCCACCACTGTTCTAGATGATCTTGACATGATTGTACATCTTAAATGCTATGGTACAATTTAAGAATAACCCATCACCAGTAAGCCAGGAAACTAAAACACAAATCCTCTTTCCCTTTAAAAAAAATCCACTTCCTCCTCATTCTTCTACCTTCATGTTTTCTACAACATGACATATTTTTTGATTGTACAAGTTGTTTTCTGCTAAACAAAGGTGACAGAGATTCTCTGCAATTGTTTCTTATTCCCACTTTGAATATGGTGTTGAAGAAAATATCAGTGGGTGAGGATGTCCTTGATAATGGTGCCAAGCACTTATGTTTCACCTTTGCACTGAAAATTGTTGAAGTGTCCCACAAACCTATAGACTTTTCCTTTTATGTCAACTACCCTATTGACACAGATTTTTTTATTTTTTTTTGTTCTGAACTCTTCTTAGGCTTTTGGTAATTAATTTTTTTTCTTGTGTCGAAGATAATGGCGTTTAAGTTGGTAGTGTTAAACTATGGTGGCTTTAAGGCCAGTTGCAGAGGTGGCAGCAGTGAAGGCATTGCTCCATTCGCTTCCCCCCTTTTCAGGGATGGGAGATGAACCCACATGAATTCACCTTTGAATTCTGGGTCTTCACTGACCCAGAACAACTGTGAATAGGATGTTAAAGGGACTTCAACACCACAAGGCAAAGGACGTTGTCCAACGTACTGTGAGGTGGGTGTTTGCTTCTTGTTACATACTTTTGAAATATGGTTGTGGTGTTTTCCCAAATTAATGCTGGGTTCCCTTTCCCTTTTAATAAGAGCTCTCTTGTTTATGCAGGCTCAGTGCTTGTGATTGAGGAAGTATTGCCTCTTAGAGGCACCAAGGGTGGTGTTTTCTTTTCTTGGGTTCCTAGTTGGGGGCTCAAGCTGATTCTGTTTTAAATTGCTAAGAGGAACCCATAGATATTGAACCTGGCCCTTGTTGTTACCAACTCAC